TATAAATTTTTAAGAAATAGTGCATATGTTACTTTGCCACATTCTTCTGTACTGAAAAGATTGTGTTCTGAGTATGATGTTGATTCTAAAGTGAAGCAAACTCCTGAAAATTTCCTGAATTATGCTAAGGAAAAAATCCGCTCTTTAGACAAAAACGATAAATATGTCACTTTAATGGTTGACGAAATTCACATTAAGCCATTCTTAGGTTTCAAAGGTGGAAATATAATAGGAATGGCATATAATTGTGAAAAAGCTGCTAATTCTGCTTGTGTTTTTATGCTGCACAGTATTAGATTTTCATATAAAGATGTTATGTATTTCCGGTTAAAATCCTTATCAGCGCAATTTTTCCATGGATATATTATGAAAGTAATAATAGGTTTAGAAAATTTAGTTTTTCGTGTAATAATGTGTTGCTACAGATATTAATGCTTGTAAACAGACGAGCTCTTTCATATTTTGCTAATTCTTCCAAAAAATAGTATTGTATACCAACATCCAATTTATCCTATTCGACCATTGTTTTATATAATTGACAGTATTCATGTACTTAATAATGTGTTCACAATAATTGGCTGATAAAAGAATTTAGGGCAATGCATATATTTTCCAGACTTTCCTGAAACACCAGAAATGAAATCTGCAGAAATTTTAAAACCAGCATCTTTATTGTGCTTAAAGAAACTTCATGAAATTGAATACAGCAGTATTGTGAAATATGCTCCGAGTCTGACTACTAAGTCATTGTATCCAAACAATCTAGAAAGACAAGATGTTAAACTAGCTCTTTTAGTTGTTTAATTTGAAAGTGGCTGAAGGTCTTTGTATTGCTGGTCATATATATGACATTCAAGACTGGAAACAAACTGCTGAATACATTCGAATTATGAGCACCTGGTGGCACATAGTTAATGTAAAATCTTTGTATCAGGGTGAACATAAACCTGATGTTTTTCAAGAATCGATTAACACATTCGGTAGATGATCAAAGAATTAAATTTTAAAATATGTTCTTGGATTGGTTAGAAAAATGGGAAATCAGTGGAGCGGATACTGGTTGCTATATGAAACTCATCTTGTATTAACCCCTTAACTGCAGCGGAAAACATACAAGATTCATTTCCCAGTGCCACAGTATTCACACAGGCACGCATAGTTATGCGATTTATTAGGGGGAAAATAAGTGCAAGTTTTTAAAAACTGTTTACTATCACAAAAGAATAAAAGAAAAAAATGAATGCACAAAATTTAATGTTTTGAGTAAAAGTATAATAAAAATGATGTTTTTATAATAAAAAAGATCCCTAAAATGGAGTTTCAATCAATTCATTTTTTAGACCAGTAAAGTGTAATATCAGGTTTCAGTGTTATACCTTGTAAAATCAGTATGCCTAAAAAACCATATTTCTTCTGAATTAGTTGAATGCCATGATTTTGTTCTTGATTTTTTGTTTGCAAGGTGTTGGTTCATATACTCGTCTACAAAACGGTTAGTTTCAGTAACAATATGAAGCACGAACAGTTCATCAAAAATTAATTCAAAAAAGATAAATTGGTTTGAAACATGTGTTATATCTTTCTTTATTCCTGGAACCTACTATTGATCAATGAGAGTTGGACAGAATAATAGAGCAGTTCACAGAACCTTTATTGCTTTTAGGTGACTTCAATGCCCATAGTACATTATGGGGAAGTAGGGACACTAATTCAAGGGGCCGGCAGATCGAACAATTAAAGGAAGATCATTCCATTTGTCTCCTTAATAATGGAGAATACACCTACTTTCATCAGCCGACTAGAACATTTCTTGCAATTGATCTGGTTCTTTGTTCTCCATCTCTATTACCTTTTTGCTCTTTCAGTGTAGGGGAGAATCTCAACGATAGTGACCATTTCCCATGGATTATAAATATTACAGGAAAGTCAGTGATCTCAAGACAACCACACTTACTTTACGATAAAGCTGATTGGGATCTTTTTGCATCTTGTGCTGCACTGACTGAAGAAATGGTTAACGATGTGGACATTAATGCAGCAGTAAAAATGATCTCCGATACTATTGTACAAGCAGCTGAACTCTGTATTCCAAAGTCCTCAACAAAGTTTCCTAAGTTCCCTACCCTGGTGGAACAGTGAATGTCATGAAACTTCGAGAGAGCAAAAGAAAGCATGGCATATTTTTTCCCCATATCCAACACTGGTAAATCTTCTGGCCTTTAAAATAGCTAAGGCGAATGCAAGGAAAGTGAGCCGGCAAAGTCAGAGAAAATCATGTGCAGCCTACGTGTCCACTATTACCTCCTCAATGTCTAGCAAACAGGTTTGGGAAAGAGTCCGCAAAGCCTCTGGACTCTATAATGATTATTCCTTTACTGTTCTAGAAAAAGATGGAAAGTTGGTTAGCACTAGAGAAGAAATAGCTGATGCTTTAGGTGATACATTTGCTGCTGTCTCTGGCACTAGCAATTACTCAAAAGAGTTTCTGGCCACAAAGATGCGCTTGGAAAGTATTCAAATTGACTTTTCAAATCCTAATGCAGAATGTTATAATAAAGATCTCACCATGTTTGAATTAAGAAATGTAATATCTCGCACTGATAGGACTTGCCCTGGTCCTGATGGCATAAGTTATCTGATGATAAAGCACCTGCCCTATGAATCTCTAGTGGTCCTTCTTGCTCTGTATAATAAGATATGAAAGGAACAAATTTTTCCTACTGCCTGGTATCCAGGGCTACTTTGTTATCCCTATAGTAAAACCCGGCAAGGACCCTAAAAATCCTTTAAATTATCGCCCCATCGCGCTCATTAGCTGCCTTTGCAAGATTCATGGAAAAAATGGTAAATCACCGTCTCACCTACTATATGGAGACTAATCATTTATTCGCCTTTACTAAAGTGGTTTCCGTTAAGGGAAGATCTTCACTTGATAATGCCCTGTTTTTAGAAACCACAGTACGCAATGCATTTGTGAAAAGAAATCGTGTGGTTTCAGTCTTCTTTCGACATGGAAAAGGCGTACGATAGAACTGGTGGCAACACGGAACTCTTCATGACCTTTTACAGCACTGGATTGTGAGGTAATTTACCCATCTTCATTTCCAAAACTTTCTGAAGGATCGCACTTTCCAAGTTCAAGATTAGTTTCGTTGCTTTCCTCAACTATTTGTATAACAAGAAGGTGTACCACAAGGTTCAGTGCTTAGTGTCACTCTTTTCAGCCTGAAAATTAATTCCATTTCCAGAGCAGTACCGATGATGTCCAATATCTACAAATTTTCCTAGAGCATAGAAGCAGTTATTCTAACTACAAAGCAATTTTTACTGATGGCTCAAAGAATCATGATCATGTCGGGGCAGCTTTTGTTTGTAATAAAGAAATAAAGAGTAGCAAACTTCATAAGGCTGCATCTGTCTTTACTGTGGAAACTTTTGCCATTTTGAATTCCTTAATCTTTATCTCTAGGCAGAATAGCAGAAAGTTCATCATCTACTCTGACTCTCTGACTGCTCTTGAATCAATAAATACAACTACCAGCCACCCTTTGGTATTAGAAATTTTAAAGGCACACCTCCGTTTGAGAAACGCAGGTTATTATATTGCGTACTGCTGGGTGCCTGGGCATGCTGGCATCAAAAGCAATGAACTCGCCAATATCGCAGCAAAATCTGCTGATATTACCTCAGAAAATGATGCCACTTTTACAGACATACGGAATTACATCAGAACAAAGGTCTTGTCCAGGTGGCAAGAACTCTGGGAATGCCAAACTCTGATCGAATTAAGGCAGGTAAAACCCAATTTGGAGTTTTGGGCATCGAGAGGGAATCGAAAGGAGGATGTACCATTGACTCGCCTACGAATTGGTCATTGCAGACTGACACATCAGTATTTCTTGAAAGGAGATAATGAGCCTATTTATAGCACTTGCAACGTTCCCATTTCAGTCAATCACATTTTAACCTGCTGTCCTGCTTTTAGTCAGAAACGTGAATTTTATTTTAACTTTACGAATGTTAACTTAACAGATCTTGTTGGAAGAAACCCTCACATCAACCTCATAAGATTTTTAAGACATCTCTTTTTACCATATGATTTGAATTACATTTTATCCTGCTCTACCTGTTGCTAGAGCATTTTTTCAAAGTCATTTCTCCACGCCTTCATCAGCATTTCCGGTTCATTTCATCAATTTATTTAATACAGTGTGTTTCTGCATCTTGAATTTATTCACCATTTGTCTGGCGCATAATAACCCTCGAGGTTTTGTGCCATTAAAAAATCAATCAAACCAAACCTATTGCATATAAGCCAGTGCCATTTTTTGAAATCAACGGTTCTAGGATATACAGTACCTGCTGCTTATTAAAATTACTTCCAAACATAATTGGGTTTTAAGTGGCTGGGTTTAACAAATGGTGGTTTGTGTATTGCAAATCATGATATTAGTTTAAAACTTTTCAAGTAAAGTAATATTCTACAACTAATTCAGTAATTTATCCTAAATTGAAAATTAATGCTAAAACTAAATAAGCTATTTATGTAAATTTGAAATTCAATAAACATTTTTTGAAACATTTTTTTGGGGGAAAAGGGGTGTTCTTTTTTGGTTTTTGTATATATTTATTCAGAATTGAATATGAGATGAATTTTAAATATATTATTTATTTTGCATTATTCCCACTTGTTGCTGCTTAGCATACAATTAATTAGGTCCTGAGCTGCTTTTTACTTTGTATTTTTTTTTTTCTTTCTTTCTTTCTTTCTGTTAAATATAAGTATATGAAGTGGGAAATTTGCATAATTTTTATGAAACTGATTTTTAAAATTTAAAAATATAACATGATCATGACAAATATTTTTGAATTTCAAAACATTTTTGTGTTTTTTTAAATTTTTACTGAAGCATTTGAATATCAAGTGTTTGAATTGCAGTGTTTAAAATTATGTAGTGAAAAATGTTTAGCTGAAACTAATTTCTAATTTGTTTTGATAGGCACAAATAAATCTAAGCCATCTGAGGTGCAGTGTGGTCGGTCATGCGAGCAACATACGTTTTTGACAGACATTACAGAAGTGCGACAGATGGAACAGGGACTTCTAAAACTTCTAGATGATTTTCATTCTGGAAAACTGCAAGCATTTGGTAAGCTACTTATAAATTTCAGTGTTTTAATGACAGTTTACATTTACTTACTTGATATTATTACAGATTACTATTTATCAGTAAATTCTTTATATGTTGTTTCTAAAACAGTGTGCATTTATTAAAGAAGTGTAATGACTTCTATTTTGCAAATTTCTTGCTTTTCTTATTGCTGTGTAAGAATCTTTCCTACTTCTCCAAAACTTTAAATATGCAGACTGTTAATAATTTGATTTTTCTTTTCCTTTTTGCTAATTTGCCTTTGTTGCTTATCTTTGTCAAATTAGTAATTATCAACTGTGAATATGATAGTTCTTTAGTTGGCACTTGCCTTAATAATTTTTAGCTAAGTAACTACTTCTGGAAATATTCTGTATAGCCAACCCTTCTTTGTTTTCTGTGTGTGTGTGTGTGTATGTTTGCTAAACTTGAAAAAAAAGTTAATATCTCATATATGAATGGAAGAGATTTTAAGAACCACACAGCAGGAATCTCATGAAAACTGCGCACACATATACATAAGAAAAGAAGCCTACTTAAAAAAAAAAAAAAAAAAGGTGGATTGGTTGTACATCCCATTCTTACGGATACTGTTAGTCATCCTAGATTGGTTCCTAGTAGCTAAGCAAGTGGACTACATGGACTTTTTTCCCCGCAGGGGCTCATATTTTTGTGAGTATGAGTGTTGCAATCCCGAGGTGCCTCAGCCCTTTAGGGGATCATCTTATTGAGATGGATTTCATGATCTGGAACTCCTGTGATCTATCATCTTTCCTTTACCTCTCCTCTCGGCTATTAATTTTCCCTCCCCTTTTGCCCTTGTAATATCCTGTTTATAATATGCATGGGGACTTATATAGCTGGAACGGAGTATCCTAATACAGTACAAAGTTCAAAATCCAGACTCGTCGGGACTTCGCGATTCTGGATTTGGGAATTTTTTCGGACATTAGAACATCATTTTAAATCTTGTAAGATGGCATGTAGAAATTATAAAATTAAAAAATTTATGAAATTATGTAGAAATTATAAAATTTATGAAATAATAAAGTATTTATGATCTAAAGGGTATCAAAATTTACAAAAAAAGCATAATATTTATTTTGTTTACCTTATTAAACATTTCTTTCAATGTAAGTTGTTAAGCTGCTCCAGTTTTTATGCTAATACTTTCTCTTTAATTCTGTAGACAGACATAATCTCTTGTTGAGTTACATTGTTGACGTCCTGTAACTGCTGTGTCGAGAATTCGGACTAACTTGTCAAGCAGAATAGTTTTGTTTTCAGTAACATCTCTGTCACTTTCTTCACTATCGGTAGCGGTATTTTCTGGATCTAGAACCGTACTACAGATTTTGCCGTTCATTATTTGATTGGTGATTGAGAAGCATTGTCGTCACAATGAAAACTTCTTTTATATCATCTTCATGTATAACCACATCTCCACATTTCTTTACGATATCCGCTAATTGGAAAATTTCACCTTTGCTTTGCGATATCCGAAAACCTTTAAAATTAGCGGCTGCTATCATTAAAATTTAGCTATCGTTCACTATACATATTTGGCTATGCATCATAAGCTTGGCAACTAATGACATGTTGTTCCGTTAAATTTTTATCTTGCTTCTATCGCACACTGAGACAGTTAAGATTGAATTTTATTAGTTTAGTTGTTTATTATACTTATGTCTATTTCTTGCACATGCTTAAAGCTTATCAGAGCTCTGAATAAATAAATTCCCTCATATACTTACGCCTTATTGAGGGCTGGCGCTAGATATCTTACTGCCTGATGCAGTCTCTGTGGGTCCTAAATTCTGCGACCCAGTGCCGCCTTACGAGCCCTGGCACTGGTTCTGGGTTTACGTGAATAACAAGTTATTCTTAATTCAAATAGCCTTAAATGCAGGGGTGTTTGTGCTCCAGGGAAACCCTGGAATTCCGGGGATTTTGAACTTCGATACCCGGAAATTCCGGGGATCGTCGTTCAAAAGGAAGTAAGAATAATAATGAATTATTTATTTTGATCTGGGTAATTTTGTTTGCTTTGAAAGCAGAAAACGCAAGGTCAGTGTGTGTGGTGAAAACTTTTCCTTTGTTTCTCCAAAGGCAGTGATAATGCGTGAAAAGGGGGAAAAAACTTCTTTTTTGTTCTTTCCTTATTGCGAGTTATGACTCGTTCCCCCCAGTTCTCGGACTATTTTACAAAAACTACTTTTAAGTTCAATTAAATTTCACTCACTGCAATACATGGATTACTATCTTTTAGAATAAGCAGAAGTATATCCAGGTGTAGCAATGAAAAATATGTAGAGAAAGTACTGCCTGAGACATAATTAGGGATTACATTTTGGAGTAGTGATACTCAGATACAATAGATGGAAATTAAAAAAATATAGAGCAGATAGGAATAAAAAAATTTGTGATTTTTATTTTGTGCATTATAGTGGAGTAGTTTTGAAGAATATGGAAGATTATATGTTTATGACAAAATATTTTCATATAAACTTTGATTTTTGTAATATTGAACATATTTTTTATAATTTAAATTAAAATGACCACCAAACAAATGCAGTACAAAGTCTGTAATCCAGACGTCCATTGTCCGGAATGATCTATAATCTGGAGCTCAAAGCCACAAACTTTTTTAAGATAACTCGGCATAATCAGAGAAGCGCTTGAGGAATTATATATATATATATATATATATTGCAGTTAATTATTATCCTGAGAAAACTCGTGCAAAGCAGAATTTGTCAGTACGATTTGTTTTACTCGGCCTGGAGGAAATGAAAGGAAATATTCAGCTTTGATTGGCAGTTTACCAAGTTTTGTTGGTTTCGCGGTTCTTTTGGCAGGACTGGTTATTGACCCGCAGCTTGAGAATTAATAATGTATAAAGAAGGATAGTTGCATTGAAAACAGTAAGATAATGGCAATGATGCAAGATATCGAAAGCAATGATTTTTCAGATGGTGATTATGAAGAGGCGGACATCTTCCAGATATTATTCCTGCTACTGAAAAAAAAATCAAATCCAACAAGACAGTGTACTCTGTGCTTCCGTAAAAGAGATTCCAGAGGTAAGCCATTAAGAAAAGAGACCTTATACTAGCGTACAGACTGTCAGGTGTCACTTTATGTTGTCCCTTGTGTAAAAATCTATCATACAAAGACTGATATTTAACTTTTTTTTTATTTGCCAGAGAGTTGTTTCCTTGTATTCAATAATAAAATAAAAAAATGTGATGATTTTTTGCAATTAAAAAAAAATTGGAAGAGAAGCAGTTAAAGGCTGAAGGCAAAGCTTGAATTGCAATTAGGGTCGTTAACTAGAACAGATTTTTTTTTTTTTTAATGTGAAATGCCTCTTAAAAATCTAATTCACCAATGGAAGATATTTTTTGAATAATTTTGGATGCAGAAAAATGGAAAGAGGGATTTTTGGATCAACAATCTTGAAGAACAAAAGACTTCTGTGTTTTCTTTTTCCTCGTATGCCTCATGTTCTTTAATGTAAAATTTTAAGGCTCTTTTAGTTTATCAATGTAATTTAAACCACACTGGCAAGAAATCTTATAAGTGCCCTAGGAATTCATATCTGGGATGGGATCCTTAAGTATGGAACTCGAAATTTTATTGATTGGAGAAAAAACTACCCACAATTTAAATTTCTGTAAAATATATGCAATTTTACTTCAGGATATTAGAAATTTAGCTTCCGAGTAATTTATTTCGGGTTTGTTTTCATTGCGAGTTCTCTCCTTACTGACGATCCTACATGCCACTTTCAAACACCTACTGGCAGAAAAGTGGCACCATGACCGGTGACAAAACATTTGTTATATTCATATTAATATTACTTGCACAGTAAATAAGTGATATTACTACAGGATCACATAGCACATTGTTTATTACAAACCAACATCAACTGGCGATTACTTCACTTCAGTTCAACAAGCAACTACCGTGTTGTCACATATATGTAACATCTCCCTTCTTTTGGAAGAGTCATAGGAATCACTGCATTACATAACTATCATATTTGAATGGTTGATATACATTACAACCACTTCTTGTTTTATATACACAATCACGATTAATAGTACAGTCAAGAGTCTTTAATCCGGACTCGTCGGGACTTCAGTGATTCCGGATTATTGGTTTTTCCGGTTTATAGATCATCAGTTTAAATCTGCTAAGATGGCATGCAGAAATTATAAAATTAAAAATATTTAAACTAATTTATGAAATAAAGAGCAATTATGATCTAAAGCAAGGATGTCAAACTCGCTGCCCACGGGCCGCATGCGGCCCACAACAAATATTTTTGTGGCCCGGCCAATATATCAGCAAATAATAATATATAATGATAAAATAACATATCGACGAAGAAAAAATGAAATGTTTACTGCTAAGTAATTAACGATAATTTATTCAGTGTTGTTAGATTACTCATAGCGAGCTGACACACACACTACTTAAATTACAAATGCGTGTGAGTAGCTTGCGTTCAGCTACCTTCGGCTTTTGGGGGACACGTGCACTCAGAACTTGCATACGCATCCCCGATAGCCGAATGTGGCCGAACTCATGGTCTCAGTTTTCCAATCATAGTTTTGTACGTACTGCATGCACTTTGCTTTATTATTAATTATTACTTAATTCATATTGTTACGGATTTCATAGTTATTTATTTATTTAGTTTTTTTTTATTTAGAATTGTAATTAGATTTGCTTCATGTTGCCTTAGCAACGCAGACGATTTTTGAAAAGACAGCTGCGTTGGAAGGTTAAAAATAGAACAGCGCGTGCATTTAATAATACCTAATAAATAAATATCTCGTAATTGCTGTTGCCATCCACAAAAATCCAGATATTTATAGATGTTTCCAGTATATTCGAGAAATTAATTATAAAGCTTATAAAAGCCGAGAACAAACAACTCATCTCAGTAGTAGCTGTAGTTCTAGCGAACTGTTTGTTTACTTAATGCTGTG